TAATAATTTTATATATTTCGTTAATCCGTTCAAAATTAGAGTTTGCTTCAATTATATGGCTTGGAGAATACCAAATCATTTTACAAGAATTAGAGAAAATACAAAATAAATTTTTAAGATATCTTTACTTTAAAAAGTTTCATATTAGACCTGATTACAATGTTGTTAGAACATCACAATTAAGAATAGATTTTAAATTACCTTCTCTTGAGACTAGACGCAAAATCACATGCACCTTATTTTTGTATAAAATAATCAATAATCAAATATGTTCTTCAGATCTGTTAGCCCTAATACCATTTTGTGTTCCATCACGTCCCATGCGTAACTCAAATATGTTTATTGTTCCTTTTGCCACGATTACATCCAGAGCTCCCCTCCTGATCATTCTTCGCTTAGCCAATGGTATAAATAATTTAGAAGATATAGACTGGTATGAGAAATATAATACATTTAAAAAAAATATTATTAAACAAATTACAAACATGTCCATTTAAGCAAGTAATGTTATTTGATCTCATGGTGTTCTGGTATCAAAATTATGTAAATTGTGGTAGGCACGTATATTGTAATTATTTAATAGTAATTATCCTTGTAATTAGGCCAATAGGCCTGTTAGGATAAATAAATAAATAAATAAATAAATAAATAAATAAATAAATAAATAAATAACGAATAAAGACGATATTAGCCTGTTGAACAGATATCATTTTTATCCACTCTAGTCAAGATATGAAATCCATCAATCACAGCTCATATGTCCAGCCGACTAGTCTTTTTTACAATTTTAATATAGTGACAACTCTGTCATAGTAATTATTGTCACTATTCGCGATTCAAACTAAGTGATACGCCCTCTGGAGGAAATTTGTAGAAGGTGCCTATAAGTAGGATATCGTTCAGTGTTGCCAGAAGTATCGAAATTTCTTGTAGCAACCAATAGGTGAATATTTCGAACAAATTAAGTCATACACATGATAAATATTATATTTATGATGAAAGCAAGAAAACTAAACTTAAATTAACATTAAATGAAACTCAAAAACACTATTATAATGAGAATATTATCTAAAAATAAATAAAAAATCACAAATACACAATCCCGCCTAAAACAAACACATGTAAATAAACAAACATCCTACTTATAGATGACAAATGACAGGCGCGCGAAAATTAATTTAAATCGCGAATATTTTTTACTTATTTAGATATAAAAAAAATGAACGATTCATGTGAAGAATGGATAACATATAAATATTTGTATATTAGTTTGAATGTCACTTCTGCACCTACCTAATCAGTCGTTTTCTTCGTATGACAGATGATTGCACGTGTGTAATTTTTCCGTAAATCTTCACTATATTTTAATATATTAATGTTACTATTATTGCAAAATACAGGAAGATCGTAAGTCTGTGATAGAAGATATAGCAGCTGGAAGAACGTATGTTCAAGAAAAGAATCTGACAGTTTTTAACGATCTTATTTCCATTTTCTAGTTAAGTTAATATTCTAAAAAGCTATATATTTATATTATTACACAGGGTGTTACATTTAATCAAGTTTAAAGTTTTATGTGGAATTGATCATCGCACATATAACAGTGCAAACGAAATGCCATACTTTATTTTTAAAAACATCTTAAGTAATAAAGGGTGAATCCAAAGTTGATACTATTTCTAACTGTTTATAGATGTTAAAATAAACATCTACCAATAACTTTTTCCTAAAAACTCATAAATGAGAAAAATATACAGAAATAAAAAAATAAATCTGGGTCTGGACTTGTGTATGAAAAGTTATGCTAAGTAAAAAGTTTTTGAATTACATTTTTCGGATTTTCTTATGAATCACGGTTCATTGTGTACTGGTTACTGTAATTTAGTCGCAAATGATTTCAGTAGCGTGTTTATCTCAAGTCATAAATTTAAATTGTTCAGTGTGGTAAATTATGACAACAATAAACTTATGGATATGTTGCTTATTTATGGCGAATGTCTTCAAAGTGCAGCTGCTGCATCGGTGTTGTACAATGAACGCGAGGGCATCCTTGGTCCAGAATTTTCATTAATATATCTCAACGGGCTAACAATACGGATGATTTTCGGGATAAATTGTAGAAAGATCGAGAAAACAAAGTGCGTTTGTGTTGAAGTGAATGATGACAATTTTGTTCAGATTTAAACATTTTTCTTTATATTCACATACTAAATTAACATCCTGTACATGAAATAAATTCTATTTAATTAAAATGTATATTTTCATATGCAGGTACTATAAACTATTCGAATTTCATTTCAAGTTCAATGTATATCGTAATAACAAAAACGCTGAATTGTTATTTTAAAATCATTTCAAAACATTGAACTGGGATCGAAATTCGAATAGTAATATTTTTCTAATGCACCTTTAAATATTAAATATTGCTAATTGTTATTTTATATTGTTAAATCTGTGATTGTATAAATATAAATGAAAATGAGAAATAAAGAGATTGACGAACAACATGTGGTACTATACTTTACAAAATTATCTTCAAAATGAGGTTCATGAAAACTATCTCGTGGTAGTAATTACAAAATTTATCTTTGAAATCTATTCATGGTCCTTCGAGCAACAGTTTACCATCTTGTGGTACTAATTATAAAATTCGTCTTTAGAGATTATTAGACAGGACGACTATATTGGATACATTTTGGAATAAATTCTTGTAAGAATCTTATTTTTCAGTCATTTTGAAATGACTTCTATACACGGTTAAAAAGTATCAATTTGGGATTCATCCTGTATATTGAAAAAAATTCTGATAATTGAGGATAAAATGAGAGGACTCAAGAGATCAATCTGGCAGAGGTGTCTATAAAACATTTTACAGAAACAGTGAAACTTTATTAGATATAATATAATAGATAATTACTCAAATTTAAGTTTTTGTCAAACAGTAGATAGTTTTTATATTAGTTATTTTTACTTTTATTCATTGAAAAATTCCAAGGGTAGCTAGATATCCAATTCAACCTCGTATAACCCTCTAGCAAACTAAACCCTCATCAGTCATCAGATCAATTTACCTTCTTGCATTTTTTATCTATTTTCTACCTTTTGTAAGCAAAACTGACATTTCCTTTAAAACATTTAAACTTTTGAAACTGAACACACTGGGATCCGCCCTGACCTTTGAGTCTGCCTCCATTTGTTTTATTTAAGGCAGTTGGGAAGTGTCTTTCGGCTTGCATATTTTATACTTAGGGCAACGGAAAAAGTGTCAATTCTTCTGAAAATATAAGATTCCCATGAATTTTTAACGACAAATGGCTTCTGACTGAAATGTATTAAATTGGAGCGCATTTTTTATTCACTAAAAATATATAGTATTAGAATAATAAAAGGAATGCATTTATTATTTCGTAACCTCAATACGAGGTGGGTTAAATTTCCTGGTAATAAACAATTATCTGATATCTCTGCCATTCTAAATAACTTTTAAATTTTAATGAGTGTTGGCTCACCCTGTAAGTTATAAGAGAATTTTTTTTAATTTTAAATTAAAAATACTACCAAAAGTAACATGTAAATTTTTATTAAACCATTCAAGTGCCAGTAGCAAGATAGTCTTCGAAACCAGCAACAGGATTACAAACTGTACTTAAATTACAGTCCATTTTGTTTTATCGCGGTACATTTTCATAGTTTTATGTAAGGGGGCGTCCATTAATTATGTGAGGTGTTCAAGGGGGGGAGGGGATAAAACTAAATCTTTCTAAATCTCACTTGGGGGGAGGGGGGGTTTTCGTAAATCTCACGTAATTTTTTTTCTAGTAGAAAACGGTGTAAAATTGCGTGAAAGTAAAGTTAAATTATAGTAAAAGTATTTCTAGAATAAAATATGGAAAAATCTTATAATTATGTTTATTTATTTTTTATTAATTTCCATTTAAGTATTTATCATTTAATTTTATTAATGTGATTTTAAATAATTGCAACACTCTCAAACACTAGTCTTTGCTAGTCTTAAATAAAAGTAATGGAACATATTGTGTTTTTGTTTTTTTTTTAATAATCCAACACATTTACACCCAAAACACGAATTTTCAAAATCTCACGCGAGATTAGGGAAGGGGGGGAGGGAGTTAAGGAAAATCTTACCAAATCTCGCCAGGGGGGAGGGGGAGTCAAAAAATCCTCAAAAATACCTCACGTAATTAATGGACGCCCCCTAAATAATCTGTTGCTGTTCCGTGTCCCTTTCCTTTCGAGACACGATGTATTTTTAAATTTAGAAATTTAACGACCCCGAAAACTCCCTCTATCAAAATTATATAAAGATCAAAGTGATTTTGTTTTCTTTTTATTTTTTTTAATTTTTTACCATTTTTAGATGAATTTTGTACCAAATACAAAGTAATTTAAAGTTCAAAAGTTATTTGAGCTATAAAGAAGATTATAGACACACAGAAACACGTGCACTCATGGCGCCTAATCCCCAGGATCACTTCTTGTTGCTGGCCGCTGCGTCTCCATGACAAAAAAGAAAGCATGCGAAGGATAGTAGAGTATACGCTTGGATTTTGCATTAAAAACAATGCATTTTTATAATGGAATTGTGGCAATTCCAACGCATCAAATTAATTGAAATTTTAGAAGCATATTAAGAACATATAAATAAAGTCTGCTCTTCTTTCGTTTTTTTGATATTTATGAAAATATACGCGTAACAATATTTTTGGGAGTTGGACGAGTTCAAGCTGACTTTTAATTTTTTTTTAATGTGTCTTCTATTTATTTTTTGAAAATTTTGAATGACGAGCAATCTAAGTTTTAGTTGTTTATATAACATATATTTTTGTCAATAACATCCGATTACTAGATCCTTAATAAAAATTTAAGCCTATTTTCAAAAGTAAGAATCCCCTTGGGTACAAATAAATTAGTAATTAAATATATTAATATATTTAGAGTAAAAATACTGTTTAAAATAATTAAACGTTACAATATATTACCTATTACGTACGTCTTGACATGCTCGTATTCTCCATTAACAATCCTCGTTCCACAAGCACATTTCTCCATTTCCACCACGCTTTTTATCGACTGCGGTAGTCCGCCATCTAGATGGTATTTCTTTAAAACTGCCATGGCCATCTCCGACGGATCGCTATTCGGTATTGTTGGGCCGCTCGCAATAAAATCTAATGGGTCTCCAATAATATCCGATAATACCAAACAAATAATCTGGCATGGATAGGCTAGTTCAGCCAAGCCTCCGCCTTTTAGAACAGAAATTCGTTTGCGGACGGTGTTTAGCTCGTTTATGTCCGCTCCTGAAAAACAATGGGGAATGGGGAAGTCCATTATTTTATTAAAAATTCATTTAAAAAAATGCAAATACCAAAATAGCTGATAGGAATGCATAACAGCAACGGCGATGCAGTTGTAATAACAATAAGTAATCTTTTATTTTGGTTTTGGAACGAGAGAAAAATAGAAAATGAAAATAATGGTAATAATGAAAATCCAATATTGTGTACGAACGTATTTGTTTCGATGAGTATTCCGATCAAGCTCTTTTCTAATAACTGCTTAATAGTTTTTTCAAAACGCACATTTTTGAATACTGGAAGCAAAAGATGTCGATAAATATTTCTTTTTTATTTTAGTTCAATAATTATTACAATTGTTGGGACAAATAAATAAAGAATGCATACATAAATTATTTATCATTATGTAATTTGATATCGACGAAAAAATTCGCGTCGTGTTTTTTCATAGAAGAGAGAACCATGTTATTTCAAAACACAACAAATAATTCATGCGACTCACTGCACTATATTCCGTTCGATCATACTTCATAACATTCAGCCCACTTGCATAACAATATATTGAAAACGGTTACACCACACATGCAGAAAGTAGTGTTTAATACGTTTAAACGGGCGTTGTGCGTAACTGCATCGGGGTCGGGCCAAATAAGTTGAATGTTTTATTAGCTTTTTGTATAACAATAAATACAAATAAGCAATCTGTTAATGAAACTTTTTTCTACGTACTCGCTCGAGAGCAAAATCCAAATCAAAGAATTTGGAAGGCCTCTTTCTAATTTGGAAAACAAAAAACGCAGAAGGCTTCCACCTTTAGTATGTCAAGCTTAACTTTTGGGGTTAATATCAAGTTTTTTTTTTTTTTGTTAAATTGTCGTACCTTTAATATTTTTTAATAAAAAATGACGCTAATAAAAATAAAAAAGTTTAATAAATATGTATGCTACAAATGTGGCATATATAGCGCCTCTTATAAAATAGATCAATATTAATACGAAATTATAATATTTCACATCCAAAAACAACCAATTTGTTATAAATTGTTCCTACGAAAAATAACCTTTATAGTTTAATTTAAAAATTATTTCACCTACCTCTTTTGGCCAGAGTCCTAACCAGATTATGTTTTTCCTCCAGAGTTATAGGAGGAATTGGCAACGGTAAAAGGGCGGAACCTCCTCCTGCAATAAAATATGGCAACGTTGCTTCAACGACTAAATTGCATTAGGTGTGTTCTTTTATTCAACAATTGTTCCATCAGTGGTTGATGTCATGACGTCACTGATTAATTTCTGGTGGAAGGTATTTGCGTTGAAAATAAGAACGAACGACATTTCTAAATAAAAAATTTGACGTTTGACATCGCTTTAAAAATTAAACCCGTTTTAATTTAAATGTACAGGAATTTATCTCTTCTGCAGTCGTTTTATATTTACACTTTTAGATTGTAGGTTAACTTTTACCTAAATAATCGGGTTCACACGTTCAAAAAAATTGATTAACTATCCCCTCCATTCATCCATCACATATCCATCGGCTTTTAAAGCCGATGGATGCGTTGGCTCATTGGTGAACTCACCGCTGGAAAAAAAGTACGATTGACACATACAATCGTCTTTCCATCTCTTAATTCACGAACGGTTTGCTACAAGCGCTGGATACAGCGCTAAATAAAAGAACACGCCTATTGTATGGTACAGATTTTGTATTTTTATGTCATTCTTTGGAGTAATTTGACCACAATCGAGAAAATATAGAAACTATTTTCATTTTTTTAACTGTATCGGTAACTTTTTTAAACGGTAACACTAAGGAAATATTAGTCAATATTGTCTAAAAAGCTTAAATTGTATGTTAAACAACTATTAATTTTTAATAGTTGCAAAACATATTTCAATCTATCTGTCTGTTTTGGTGTAAAATTTTTATTGCTTGTTCTGATAACTAACTAGAAATACTATACTATACATATTTATTGATAAAACTACAAACAAACGTTAATTTTTGCACACAAAACCGTTAGCTTATTTATTTATTTATTTATTAAATATAAACGGCCCATTCACGATACGACTTGCTTTGCCGCATGCGGCGCTACACAGGTCTCACCAAATACTATGTCAAAGCAGATAATATCATATTCACTGAGACGACCTCATGCCATCACTTGAGATCTCAGACGATTGTGGTCTGCTGTTAGTTATCAGCGCCTTCCTATTGGCTTTTCAATAAGCAATGTACTGAAATTAGTATAGCAGTTTACCTGATAATGAATTCCTCCCAAAATAATTTGTTGTCATCTGTCTGAAATGTAATTTTTAGTTTTAAATATGGTTTCCACAGTAGAAATGATAAAACTCCTCCCTGTGGACAAACGTTAGCTTTGAAAGCATACCCACCAACCATCTATGGAATATTATTATCTGGGGGAAGACGGTATTATTAAAAGAACCTTCTTTGTCCATGAAAACATCCAAGGAGGATTCTTTATTGTCTTTATCTGGCCAACAACTAGGTAGAAGTGCTGAAACGGTAGATCTATCTGTCTGAGGTGTATGTATGTTGATTTGGGTGTAGTAATGGTGTTGTAATCACCACATCCAATGTCTTCATGGAAAACGATGTCAGGCTAATTGCACAGTATATTTTTGGGGTATTGCAATCCATCCTTCCAGTTTTGGGCGTGAACACCACTTTTACCTCTCTCCATTTTTTGGGCTATATCTCAGAGCCAACGAGGATCTGAATATACCTACCATGTGTGGTGTACATTTCTCCAGACCCTTACTAAAGTAGAGCTGGATAGATACTATCAGGTCCTGGAGATTTAAATGGAGAAAAGCTAGATATTGCCCATCTAATTTTGCCTTCTTCTACAATGTGCTTGGCAGTTTACCTAGCAATCATAGTAAACAGACAGATTGTATTCTTCCTCTACCATCACTGCGGTGTAAACCCTCGATTTCTTCGCAATAGGCTCTCCATATATTTCTCTGTTTTTGACATGCATAGGACAAGCTCTTTTTTTAGATTTTATGAAAATACGGTTGAACTGTAAAAGCGGCTCTTATGGATTTCCAAGTGAAGCAGAACTTTTATCAAGGATTTCTTATGTAATAAGATTTTTGGGACCCATTGCAATATATATTTAAATATTTCTGAGCAGTTTTGATATTCGAAAAAACATTTTTTTTTTTGAAATAACATTTACGGACATGCTGACATCAAATATGCAAACTCACAAAACCTCAATGTTACCTCTCTTTAAGGGTCGTTTGATTTTAAATTCGATCGAGCGAGCGTTGGGGAGACCGAGAAGTGAAGACGTCACATAGACGTCACAATAGAAACATTGAATCAAATCGAGTAAAAAACATAACCTCACTTTTTTGTGATTCTTGTTTTTGTGTCAAAAGTCAAAACAGTAAGCAAAAATTAAGCAAGACACTTTTCGCGGTAATGTTGTAGTTGACGGGTCTAGAAATGCGCATATTCACACCACTCTGCACTGACGTCTAGAATTTGAATTTGCTCAAGCCACGTTGCCAAATCTCCACTTTCATTTTAGCTTGCTATATTTCATAGTTTATTATTTAGAAAAATTGTAACCTCTGTAAATTAAAATGTATGATAAATAAATATATAGATTTATATTCTGTTTTGTTTTATAAGACAGTTTTGATAGATTTTAAATTTAAATTTTGTAATTATCACTATTGAAAGGTATTATTGCTATTAAAAATAACGATCGTATTACTTGAAAATCTTTAGAATTTTTTTTTTATGGGATTTTTAATCAATGTAAAAATTGGTAAATAGATGATTAAAAGTAAAATAATTATTTCAATCTGCTTATTCCCTGGTTCCAAATAATTCAATATAACCTGGCAACTATGTAACGATTCCAACTGACAGAACTAGCCTTTCATTGTGTTTGACATAAAATATTTAAACTTAATACATTATTTATAATTTCACGTATTGAGGATAGAATACATTATATGTCGCAACCCCTTAGATATACCAACCTTCCCACCGACAATTCTTTCGATTGGAATGCCTAATTGGGCATATGACAAAATGGGTACCGGTGGGCTGCCTGGTAGATTTGACAGAGTTGATTAATCATAATATGTTTCTATAAAATATTTAACAAAAACTAATGCCTCGAAGTAAATATTTTTGTACCTCTTATTATTTATTCCCTATATTCAAAGGCTGAAATTCGGTTTTAAAACATGTTTTTGCTAAACCGATTCTGATCAACGAACACCTGCGAGGCATATGGCCGCGCGCAATGCAACCCGCTTTGAGTAATCTTTACAACTATAGTATATCATTGACCCTGTCAAATTCATCAGGTAACTATTAATGCCGCGTTTGAGAATCCACGTCGGATGCTCCGTTGCTCGGAGGTCGGATGCATCAGAGATGTAAAAAATCTTTGATCACGTGATTCAGTATACGTAAATGTAATGGGACAGATGTGTCCGATGTGGATAAAAAAACGCTCGAGATGTAAAAAATGCATCCGATGTGGATTCTCAAACGCAGCATAAATAGTTACAAAATTTTCTAACACTTTTATGGGTTTTCTTTTTCTTGGCGGTGATGGGTCTTCTGAATCAATAGGCATTTCTTTATAAGCTTACCAGAACATACTTCTGTAACCAGAGCATTTCTTTATAACGTTTGGTTACTCGGCTTTGGTTACATGTTACCAAAGCATATGTTGCTATATCTAACGAGGCATTTATTTATAAGCTTACTAGAACATACTATAATAAAAAATAACAAAGTCAAAACATCCTAAAATTTCTAAAATTCAAATTCCGGTTAGAAATCCCCAAACTTAAATTAAATTTGACATATGACATTCAATAATAGGGAAACCATGGTATGCGTAATGTCACCACAGTAACCACAATACTGTAACCAAGTATGTTGTAGTAAGCTTATAAAGAAATGCCTTTTAATTGAAATTTGTTCGTTCATTATATTAACGAGCCGGTGGTACTCATCATTATTTCGCTTTTCTTCAAGCGTTTGCAAAACGGCTGAGACTATTTTCATCATGTCAGTCAGTGTGGCCTCCCAGCTTTGTATAATTTTGTCCATGCGTGTACTGCTATCTATCAGTAAGCAGTTTTAAGTTTTAACAAAATATCTCGGTTTGACACTACAGGGAAATTAGGGGAATTACCGAAATAAAATTTATGGTTATCCGTTTTCCGATTTCCAGTTGCAATTTATTGTCTGTGGCTTTGTGTTTATTATGTTTTGATTAAAATGGACAGTAAGCAATAAGTAACTGTTAATAAATAAAGTATTTTCTTGTAAAGAATATAATATAAGTGACTCAGAACCATTACTAAAAATATATTGATATAACGGTTTTACTATAAAAATTTTATAGTAAGTACATTTTATCCCAATTCACATTTTTCCAAAAAAAAAAATCAGTACAATTTTAAAAATCGTCGATGCAACTCATTGTTCATTGTTTGCATTTTTCAACGGCCGTTAATCACGCTTCTATATAATATGGGCAATTTTCTAGGGGGGGCGCAGAAAAGCTTTAGGGGGGGCTCAGCCCCCCCCCCCCCCCCCCCCCCCTGCGGCGCCCCCTTCGCTACGGGCCTGAACTATTTGGACAGGTCAACGGAATGCATAATTTTACTTCTGTGACCGATATGCGTGATTTTTTCTCGGCCTACTTTAAAAACATATTTTAATTACTCAATAAATAACATAAAAATATCACCGTTACTAATTTATTGTATTATTTATCTCAGTGTAGGGTGAATAACTTACCGGAAACCAGAACAATTAATAAATCATTCTCACTCAACTTCTCTACCAATTCCTTAATCATCCTCGCACCTTTTAATGCCATTTCGTCAGGTAAATTATTTTCAGCGCCTTCGACGTACTCAATCTTCGACTCCTTGACTTTCTCGAACTTTTCAAATATTCCCACTGGCACGTTCACTATCCCCCTCTCGAGGCGATCACCCAAAATTGATTCGAGCTCTGTTGCCATGCCGTACACGGCTTTACCGAATCCTACAACATAACATGGCCGTAATAATTTGTAAGTTCTACCTCTGACCGTTAGATCGCGATGGTTTAGCTGAATTTCATTTTTGATGAGATGATTGGGTTGCACAAATTCCACAGATTTAAAGAAAATTTCACGTAGAATATTATTATGATCGTTCGACATTTGTCTTTGAAACACTTTTACACTTCGAAGAAATAAGTAGTTTTCACAGCACAGATTGTTAGAAGTTATACGTGTCAATTTGTGGATAATCATTTAGTTATGTTTTATTTATTTTGTAGATAGTCCACTTCAGATAACCTTTTATAATCGGCTACTGTAAATTTAAAATTACTAAGGTTATGTTTAGTTTCAAAACATTGAAGCTTAATTTATAACCGCCGTAACGTATCTTAAGAACTTAACGTAAGAAGTTGAAACATTGAATTTACATGTACTTATTTATAAGGTCCGGTTTTTCAATCTCCGGCTATTTAGGATAGCTGGCAGCTACGGAGATAGCCGTCAGCCACTGCCTGTCAAAACGTTTATCGACCTCCAGTTATACGATAGCCGTCAGCTATTTTGACTGTAACCGTAACCGACACTTGCAAGTGGTAATTTCGTACAGATAGCCGCCAGCTATTTATTGTACATGCGTAAGACGATGTTTGTTAAATTTAGAGGTTAATATTTTTATTTATTTCTGAAAAATGGGTTTCTTCACAGCGACGATGCCAAAAAATAAATTATTTAAATTATTGAATATTAATCAATGATGACCGTGTAATCCGTGTGTTGTAAGGGAACGGCCCATTTATTTCGATATCGATGAACTGAATTTTATTTTTTTTTTGTTTTTTGTGTCATCGGCATCAACTGCTAAGGTTATTAGCCTCGTGTTCTGTGTAGACTTTGTAACTGTTTCCCAGCGCCACTTTAGGAACAACACTGTTAATTAGTACCCAACAGTAAATGGTCTAGTGGGGAATCCTACCATTCACTGTTGGGTACTAATTAACAGTGTTGTTCCTAAAGTTGCGCTGGGAAACAGTAACAAAGCCTACACAGAACACGAGGCTAATAACCAAAGCAGTTGATGCCGAATTATTAAATTTTAGATTTTTCTGCAACCTTCTCATTTCGTTTCCGTGATATTGCATTTTCCGTTTTTTTTTTACATTTTGTAAGATAACCAAATTTCGATCGTAGGGCTCTATCTGATTCCGCGTAATTAGATATTTTCTCTTTTTTCTAAATCACCAATTGCCCAAAAACAGAAAAAAACAAGATCTTAAAGAAAAATGGAAGCAAAATATAACAATTTTTATGTGAAGGTCGGTGACGATCAACACAAGACACGATATGTAAAACGGAAAATTTAAATTATCCAATAAAAACCATTTAACAAATTAGCAGAAATGCCAACCTGTCTAAGAATAAATAAAAACTATTAGACTACGTAGCTAGCAGTTAAATTCGTGATGAAAAACACTTCCATCCATATTCCATCGGTAACAGGGACTTTGACTGCCAGCTAAATATAGCTGTCGGCTACGTAACAGCCACTTTGACTGGACATTGAAAAACCGACCCTTAATGTTCGTAACGTAACTTAAGAATTTAACGTAACGTAAAAAGTTTGCAAACTTTTAAAACTATCATTCTCCTTTTTTACTTTCCTATCTGTATACAGATAAAGAAAGTATAGGAATCATGATTTTTTTTGACCTCAAGTTTTCGACGGTTTTTTACGTTTTGGGGTTCCCTGAATACGTTTTGACTATTTTCGCGATGATGTCTGTATGTGTCTGTGTGTGTGTCTGTATCCTTGATAACTCATGAACGGATACAAAGAAAAACACCAAATTTTAAACTTAAGCTTTATTCCGGCTTCCAGTGAACTGATTAGATTTTGGGCAAAGTCGGAACATCTGGGGGGTACTTTATAGGTGGTCATTTTTATATTTTATGAAATATATCTGTTATTTACTTCTAATATTATTTATTATCTATAATTTTTGTTTTATGCCAAATTTTCCTGAAATGATCCTAATGATTGAACGTTTACGTTATCCGTAAGTACATGTTAGACCAAGTTTTAACAGTAACGAGGCAAATTCGTATAATGGAAAACTGTTAAATTAGAACATAACAGGCGGAAAATAACAGTAATGTGTTGAAAAAAGTTTTCCATCTTACGAACTTGCCTCATTACTGTTAAAATTCGGCCTAACATGTACGTTACGGATAACGTAAACGTTCAATCATAGGACCCAATATCTATATCCATGGCTATGGATACTATTTATTAACTGAAATTAATGGGATTATCCATGAAATTTATTTTAATTTTATTTTAGAATGTCTAAAATAATTTGTGTGAAATTTAAATGAGATACTTGCATTTTTTGGCTGTTCTGAAGCTCCACAGCCCTTATGCAACAGGCGCCACTGTAACACATAATTTATAGTTCTCGAAATGATTCGACACCCATTGTCTATTAATAATTATTCATTATGTAATGTTAAGTTCATTTCTAATAACAATAGTGTTCATATAAAAGTAAAATAGGGTTCTAATACGAAATTATTCATGAACGTACGTCACTGGAAACCGGAAACATAAGTCAGCCATATGCAAGGACCAATTTAGTCAACTGCCATTTCTTCTTCACCCTTAACTTAACGACAACTGACATTTCGTATGTAGTGACACAAGACACGACGTCCAAAATGAAAAACGGGAATTTTGACTTTTTAATAACGACTGATAAACAGATAACTTTTTGATAATTTTTTTGTCAAATAAATTTTGTGTGAGCAATGAGAGTGAGCACCTGAAACACATGGAAAATTCCTCCTTGGGTGTGTAATATCTGCAAAAAAGAAGTGTTGAATGGTGCAGATAGTTGGTTAAATATATTGCCACAGTAGCCACATTATAATCATATTTCCTCCATGCACAGTATGCATGCAGCAAATTCTGGGCTAATGTTAGTGATGTAGAGAGGTCTACCATCTATCTATCTATCTTGCTTTCGAAACTACAATTTTTAAATAACGAAAAGTTGCAGTGGCAATGGATTCAATTACTATGATCATTAGAAGGTAGGTAGTTTTTATTTCAGTATTAATTTAAACACTAAAATTTGCAAATGTGCTATGTGGACCCTGTTCTGCAACCATGGTGTAAGCCACAATTTGTTTACATACAAATATTGATGTAAACAAATTGTGGGTTACACCTAGGGTTGCCACCTTTTTGAAAAGTGAATAAAGGACTTCGATGCTCACAGGGCCCCCGGTATACAAAAAGTCCTCATTTTTCTACTGAACTTCTACTAAAAAAAAAGATGCAGAGATTGTAACAAAAATAATCCTCTTTGTCATTCTATCCAACCTTTTAACAAAAAAAGGCTTCAGCTTATATATTTTTGTACAAACCATGTCCCATGTGCCATAAAAAAAGACATTTGCTGTAAAAAAGGACATTTTAAGTTTTTAAAAGTCCAAAGGACATTTTGGTTCAAAAAAGAACAGGTGGCAACCCTAGTTATACCATTGTTGTAGAACACTGTCCATGTAATATTTAGTGTCCAAGATGTACATTAACCATTGCCTTACCGAAAGTGGGTCAGCAATGATGTAAAGTAAAATCTAAATATTCAAAAATATTTCTTGGTTTCCTGCATTTTTCAGTGATATTTCCAAGATTATTCCTTATATATGTCAAGAATAATATAATGGTTAATTTTGTAGTTTGGTGTCCTAGTAATGAGCAGCTTTTTTTGCCCATGAAAAAACTAAACTTATGTACTTATAGGTACCCAGATAACAATTATACATTCTTGGCATATTCTAAGTATATGCTTTTTAAGAATGTGCATATGCTGAGAATATACTTTATTTGCATTTGGAACATTCTCAGAATATACCAAGAATATGCTAGGTGGCGTTGTTTATACGTGCTATGCAGATGCTGAGAATGTACTCGAGTATGTGTACAGTATGCAATAGGTATCTACTTTAATTTAATAGTACATTCTAGGTATATGCTTAGTATTTAAATATAGCATATGCTAGACACCCTAATACAGGATGTTTCATTAATATTGAACAATAAAGAATAAGTTTATATAATGAAATCTTTATTTCAAAAAAATCATACTTATTCTTATTTTTAATACAAATTCTTCCTTTTGGCCTTAACTAACCAATATTTTATTGTATCAATGGCTTGAGTTTCATTTGCTTGATTCCATTGGAACTTCATTGAACCTAAAAAATAAAAAAATGAACAAACTTGGTACATACACAAATTAATTGTACATAGCTAATGGAATATTTTAAATATTTTTGTCGAACGTGAAACATTAAAAATTGTACAATGGCATTTCACTAACAAAAACAAGAGTTACATAAATGATTTTGTTTAGTAAAAGTTTAAAAATATTTTTGTTAATTACTTACCACCATTTTGTAGTTTTCCTCCTCCTTTAGCTTATTTTCTAGTTCTTCCAGGTCAATTTCTGGCCTTACAGGATTTTTTTCATAGAAAGTGTGTATGTAATTCTGGTAACACTAAATTTTAGTTTTAATCCACCATTAGTATTACCCATATTAATAAATTCACACTGGCAATTAATATTTGGGATATCCTGTGTTCTAACATCACTTATAGGTCCTAAACACTACAAATATAGTAAAATTTGTTTATTTTTATATATAACACACGATGCAATTAATTTTTACTAATTTACTTACTGAAACAAGATCAAAGAAATTTGTAGGAATTGTAAGTTGTTATTTTTCTTCTTCTTATCTTTTATTAAGGTTGTTTTTGGCCTAAACATTAGTGTGTTTGCTAACCAATTAATAGATCGGTATCTGGGAAAAATTCATATAGATATGTATATAAACGTTTTTTTTACATGTATTTGGTGTTAATTTTTACCTGCAAGCATTTAGAACATTCTCAGAATATGAGGTACATGCTGGGTATATGACTTTTAGTATCTCCTTAGAATGTCCTGTTATAGCACGTGCTCAGTATATACTTTTTGGAATATACTTTTAAGGCACATGCTCAGCATATACTTTCTAGAATATACTTTCAAAGTATATAATAGGTATGTTCTAAGAACATACTAAAAAGGACATACTAAAAAGAACATAAACAGAACGTTCTTAGTATATTCATAGAACATTGATGTTATGTGGGTATCACTATTGTAAACAAAACATCTTAGTTTCCTAAATGAGTAATAACTATACAATTAATTTTTTTAATGTTCTTTAATTTGACTAAATAGTATACATTACCAATTTATTTTAGAT